CTGTAACGGAATACAGTTACTCATATTTTGTATTTTAAATACGTAACGGCGGTACATGTATTCCGTTACTCCCCAACACTGCTGGTATGAAGAAATATGATGTTGATGTTTAACCTCAAAAGGTTTAGTGGTCCTTGTCTATGCAAAAATACACCAGTAAAGCGGAAAAGCTCAAGAAAAGTCAAACACATCTGTGCAACACCATCTCCAAGGAGTAGGTGTGGAGCGTCGAGCCACAGAGAATTCCTTAGCAAGCCTGAAGTCTTAACTCAAAGAAGACCTCTATCAGGTCACACTTGTTGCAAGCAGAGCCTGACCCCTATAGATGTATAATTCACCTCATCTATTGAATATTCTGTGGCGTGTGTTGGTTTGATGATTGATTCATGTGTATCTGGCTGAAAATAGACTGTGAGGTCAGCCTGTGTTTTGACCCAACCTCTCACACCGGACTTTTACGGGTTACATGTATATCTAAGTTTAATACCAACTCTCAATTGTTATTTTGTGTCCGAGAATACGTTTTTTGGAGTTGCTCTGCAGGTCTGATAGAATTTTATGCATTAACAGCACCACCTCTTTCTCCCTCTGGTACCCTGTCTTTACCTTTCTTCTCCTCCTCGCCAACTCCTCTCACTACCCCTGTTTAGACCGCATGAGTGCAGAACGGGAGAAGAAGCTGGTCTTTCTCACCGCCCGCGTTCACCCCGGAGAGTCTCCCGCCTCATTCGTTTGTCAAGGTAAAGTTTTAATGTGAGGTCATTGATTCAAATGCAGAACCACTCACCTGTGTGCACAGCAGCGTATGTCAGCAATGCACGTATACATTTTGCTGTTAGTAACCAGGATGTTTATTGCTACTGTTGACTCATGTTTAACATCACTTTTTCAAAAATTCAAAATCATCGTTGCACGCCCTGAAAATGAAATGAACAAATTGAAGATTTATTTTATAATCCGTGGTTTCTCCAGCTGATGTAACGGCTCAAAATCCTTGTTTAAAGATCTTTCGTTTGTTTAATTTTTTTTAAAACTTTTTACTTCTATTAAAAAGCCCGTTTACCAAATTATCACAAGACTCAGAAAAACAAATATTAAAAGTACCAAAATGTCTGGTCTCCAGCTGAGATCACATTATTATTACATTATACCTCATTAGCCTTTTTCAAACTGGAAAATTCTTTCCAAACATGTTAAATGTAGCACAATCACATTTGCAAAAAAAAGTTGAGACACAGTGTAAAATGCAAACATGTTGAAAACAAGAAATGCTGTTGTTGTGATCTCAATGGTCTTGTCTGCTCCTTTTGTTGTATTTTTCATTTCATAAAACACTAAATGCTTCCAGACAGATCTGGACTGCACACAGGCTGTAGCGGCAAAACAAACCATTAAACCAGACTAATTAAGAGACCAGCTCATCGTACTAAAATATACAAAAAAAAGCTCAACATGTGATCAATAATAACACATCTCTTATATTGTCTGGAAACTATACGTAGCAGTCAGTCCTTTCACACTTACAAATAATTCTGACCTTGCACCTGAGTATAATATGCTTGAAACTTAACAGAAGATACCTGAGCCTCTATTTCTATACAACAACTCGAACTATAGTCCTGAAATACAGTGGTGTTGCAGTGTCTTTGCTCCTGAGCTCTGGTAACTCAAAACTAATAAAGCATCTTGAAAAACTAGGAACCTTTGGGAAATTGTCTTTTAGCAGGATTTAATGGCTCTGTTGCTCCTTTCCATCGGCTCAGAGTGGTCAGGTTAGCTCCTGCTGGGTTCCTTTGTTTATAGGTAATGGGACTGAAAAGGAAAGGTAAAGTGTGCTCGCTCTATCTATCTATCTATCTATCTATCTATCTATCTATCTATCTATCTATCTATCTATCTATCTATCTATCTATCT